GTGGCTGAAATTTTTGGCCTATTGATGTGCCTGTCAAGCGTCTCTTCCTCTGCCCGTTCCCGCGTTGATTAGACTGCGACTGGGCGATCTCCTCCTGCGTCAAAGGGAAGGGGGTGCACTGCTAGCAGCGCGTGCCCCTGTGCGGATCTGCGGCTCAGGTGGCGGGCGCGGGTGGGCGACGTTTCGGGGGGGGGGGGCTGCTGTTAAAACGGTCAAGGGTCACGCAATCGAGAGATGCTGTGCGATCAGACGATGCTAGGGTCATATGCACGAGCAACTAGTTTGCCGACCAGGCTGCACGCGAGGGCGCAGTTCTGCACTCCGGTGACGAGACTGCCATGGCTCGAGCCAAGCAGCCTGCCAGCCTCGCCCAGTAATGATATCTGCAAGTACCCCGCGCGCACCCTCAGGGCTGCGGGGCCTCCACACCTCCAACCTTCGAGTCGTGATGTCGTCTGCGAAGGTCGGAGGAGGAAGCCGTCGCGGCCCTTTGCGGACGTCGAGGCGGGGCCAGGTGCGCACGATTTTGTCCGTTTGGAAGGCCAGATTCTTTGCGCATGCTGCCTGCGTGCGCAGCCAATGTCCCCAAAGCAACCGCGTTACCAGAACGTGGCGGGGCACAGCTTGTGGCAGGGCCCATTGTTTTTTGTTTGTGGCGCGCGGAGCACGGTCCAAGGAGAATGCGCAAGGCCTCGCCCAACACTGCCGAAGCCAATGCGTTTGCGGTTCGACGTCCCGGAAACGACGTTCCCAGCTCTGGAAGGGCGTGCACCCTCGGACGGGCCTCAGACTGGTCCCGGGTTTCACCTTGGCTTATTCTGCAGAGCCGGATTTTTCTGGCCTCCGCGCCTTTTGTCGTTGAGCCGGCCGCAGCATCGCCGCGGCAAATGGGAGAACATGTTAGATAGGGACTCGTGCTTGAAAGAAATACATGAGGCCCCATGAAAGCCCGCTCGGCCCGACGTAGAACAAGTAGCGCCAGCTCCGATAAACCCTCGCGAGGAAGGCCACGTCGTGCACGTGTTCGACCTACGCGACCCAGGCCAGCGCAACGATGCCCAGGTCAATGCAGCCCCGCGTGTTGCAACAAGCTCGCTTTAGATCGCAGCCCAGCGAAGCCCAGTCCAGTTCGGTTTTGCGTTGTCATCGAGCGGCGCACCAGTCCTGCGAAGCCTTAGCCGGCCCGACCTAGCACAGCTTGGCCCGATACCTTATCAGAGGGAAGTTCGATCAATTCTTGCTTCAAGCGGCCGCAGTCGAATCACGGCGGACGTAGTCTCACCGTTCAGGACCTTGTGCTGCGTGAAGTCTGGCGTGTTTTGAGTGTAGAATGGTGTTCGCTCCCGTGCCATTTGTGTTTTTTTGTGCCTTGCTGGTGCTCTGGTTTGCCAAGAGGTGTCCTTCGATCATGAGAAGTTGTCTGGGCGTGCTTCAGCCATTATGTTGCCCCTCCTCTTTCTTCCCTCCCCCGTGCCCCCATGCGTTGAAGTTCGATTCGCGTGGTTATGCGGCTTCGTGCAGATGTGCCAGAAGACGCCCCGGGGCGGTGAAAAAATGTGCGTTCGCTTGCGTGTCCTCACCCTCGACTTCCTCGACTCCCCCTGTATTTCCGTCGGCGCGGCTCAGGTGTCGCTTCATTATCAGAGGAGACCAAACTCCCTGCGTCGGCCCGCCTCTCTGCCTACTGTAGGCCGATGGGGCCCGAGAGGAGTTCGATCGGCACGGCCCGCCGACGGGGGGGCTCGGCGCCCGATGCGACGCGCGCGCGATTGCCAGACCGGCGGGAACCACCGCGCACCTCTCGCGTGGCGAGTCCGTCGTCGCGGTTTCTGCGCCCGCCCGCCCCGCGCTGATGCGCTACAACAGTTGAAATGCTACGCCAGCACGCGTGCGTAAAACGCGGCGGCGGCGCGTTGGCGGCGTCGAATTATCCATGAGGGCAAGGATTCCAGCGCCGATGGCGCAATGGCGCCGCTGGTGCCACATGTTCTATTGGGTCGTTTCGACACGTCTTTATGACCTAGTGAGGGCGCGACGCACATTGCCAATCAATGGGCGCGCAAGATGTCATGCCACAGGCAAACTTTGGAGGAACAGCTGGGGGTACGACGTTCTTTTTTGCGTTGTTGTCTTTCGGTGCCGGGAGCATCCTAAGTTCATTCATTTCTTGGGCGGCAGGGGTTGGGTGGGGCGCGTGGCGGGCTTGTAAGCGATTGGTGGGGCTGCGGGGGCTAAAGCCAGGCGCGCCTGGTGCCTGAACCCGGGCGCGGAATTCAACATAACCTGAACCATGTTGCCCAGGGTGATGCCCGTGCTGCGTTTACTCTCGCCGCCATCGTTCTCTTCCACGTCCTTCTCTTCCTCCTGCGTTTTTTTGCCGACGCCGCTCTTCCTTCTGCTTCTCTCGTCGCTCGATCGTATTCGCGCCCGGATTCCTGGCCAGATTTCCTGGCCGAATTTCTCGGCCGGATTTTTGGCCGGATTCCTGGCCAGATTCCAGGCCGGATTTTCTGGCCGGGTTCTTGCGTCGCACAGCGGCCGGATTTCTGGCCGGATTTTTCGGCAGATTTTTTTTGGCGGTTTTGCCTGAGACTTCATTGGAAAAAAATTCGGCGCACAAATTCGGCACAAAATTCGGCCCCCGCGCGCCCAATGCTCCGAGAGAAAAAATTCGGCGCGACGCCCTTGGAGGGGGTGCCCTGGCCGAAAAAAAATTGCCGCTGGCGTGGCGGGCGGTTGCGCGGCCCCCGATGGGCCGAGCGAAATTCGACCGTCACTCCCCGCGGGCCCAGAAAATCCCTTCGGTCAAATCGCTCAGGGATCAAGAAGCAAGTGGCAGTCTGTTCGGCAAACGAGTGGTCGCGCGCGCGTGGCAGTTATTTGAAGCAGCATGAAAATCGCATTGCCACTGGCTTGTCGGGGCCAGCGGCCCATGGGATGGGGCGCGGGGGTCAAGGGCGCCGCTGGGTCAGGCGCGCCGATGTTTGATCGAACGCAAGGGGCGAGATTCCGCTGCCAGGGGCGCCCCGCGCGAAATTGGCAGTCATCCTGCGTCGGTTTGGTTCAATAGAGTGCCGCTGAGCGTGGTTGGGTTTGACAGGGGAGGGAGGGCGACGGATAATGAAGGTGGGCAATAACAAAATCTAAAACATACCAGTTGGGCTTTGCGCATCATGGCGACGTGGAGGGCCCATGAGACAGATGACGACGTCGATGTTAGTGTGAGTGGCCCGCCCTCGACCTTGGGCGCTCGAGCGCCTCCGAAACCCATTGGGCGCCGTCCGACCCCGTGGGCGCTGGGCAGCCGGCAGAGGCCCCAGACTTCTCCCATCCATTCGCCAGTCGCCCCCGTTCCTCCTTGCTCGGTTCGATCGACTGATCGGTGGTCATGTTGCCACCGCACTTTGGCCCCGAGTCCCAGGCGAACTGATCGCCTTGCGAGGTCTGTGTGAATCTGATCATGGGTGTTCTTGGCATTTCTCGGGGTGCCTCTTCTTGAAAGAGCGCTTCGGGAACAGATGCTGTGAGCCTTTTCAGCGCTCACGAGTCGTCGTTTTTCGCTTGCGTTCGCGCGTGCGATGCCGAGGGTGCAACCTGGGATATTAGCGTATCTACGCCCGACCAGTCATGAACTCTTCCTCCCCTTCCTCCTTCTTACCGTCCCTTTGTTCTGGCTTCTTCTTGCTCTTGCGAAGTAGGTGCTCGGTGGTTTTCGCCCTCCCCCCCCCGTGATTCTGATGAGTTGAGCATGACATGTGGGTCATTTCCGCGGACGTCGCACTTTTGCCCGCAGTAGCAGCTGGGGCATCCCAAAGTAGATTTTCGCGACGCGCTGGGGCCGCTTAGTTCGTGTGCGGGGATGGGCGCCAAGTCGCGGATGCTCGCCCATGCGACGATTCTGCGCGGCGTTTTCGGCGGTCTTAGCTCATGCAGCAAACTTGCGCACGCGCGCGCGGTCGTTGGAATGCCCCTGTGCTGCCAGGGGCAACGCCCGATGATCGCGAGGGAGTTCGCACGTGCGGCCTCGCTTTTGCACCCTTTTTTTTCCTGGCGCGGGCCCGTTGGGTCGAGTTTTGGCGCATGCAGGATTCGTCGATTTGTTCCGGTCATGGTTGTTCGGTTTGTTGTATTTTGCGCTTGTTTTCAGCGGCGCGCGCGCTTGCTTGGAATTGGTTCATGAGTTCCTCGATGCGCCGACGGCCGTTTGAATTTCGCGCGTTGTCTTTTTGTGAGATATGCGTGGCGCAGTGCGGAGACCGCAGCACAGGCGATGCTGGTCACGCACGAAAGCCCTTCGCATTCGACGCGTTCCAAAAACATTCAATTTCAAAAAAATCTGTTATAAAAATTCGCCATTTGTTTCTGCACCCCGCCTCCTTGGTGACCGGGTTTGGGTCCTCGGCCCCCTGTCCTCTTCGGCGTTTGCTCCCGAGGTGCCAAACCCAGGGACTTTGAGGTCCTTCCCGGCTGGTACTCATGCAGGCCGAGTCGCGCATTTTGCGGGGAGAGGCGTCGCAGGCCGGGCCGCGCTTTGCGCGTATAGGCGCTCGAGTTGTGCGCAACGGAAGGGTGCGCCGTGCGGTGCCCATGGCGAGTTTTCGCCCCTTGGCGGAGGTTGGGGCTGTCTGGCTACTCAGCGGAGGCCACCCCATGTGCTCCTTGATAGAACTCACGTTCTTGTTCACGAAGGACCCCTGTGTGAAACGCCGCCCATACTTCACTTTCCTTTATCCCTTGTCCTCCTCCTCATGCTCCTCCCTTTCCTCCTCCTCCTCCTCTTCCTCCTCCTCCTCCTCCTCCTCCTCCTCCTCGAGGGAATCGCACAGGGAAGGCCAGGCCGCAAACCCGCATATCAAGGCGCATCATCAGCATCACACCACAACTGCCCTCATCACCATCACCGTCATGATACCACCACCGTCGCTACCACAACCATCATCGCCTCCTCCATCACCACCAACACCAGCACAACCCTCTACCTCCGTCCTCGCCGCCCGCAGGCCCAGGTGGTCCTGGACGGCTGGCTCGAGCGAGAGCCGCCCGTGGGCCAGCTCGTCGGCGTCCACCTGCGCCTCGGCGACTACGCCTGGGCCCCTAGCGGGCGCGCGGGAGCGGCCGGCCGTTGCTGGCGCCGCTGGCCGCTGGTCGTCCCCATGGCCGTCTCGGCCCAATGCCGAGAGTGCCCGATCGGCCGTGGGCAGAGGGGGGAGATGGGAGGGGGGGGAGCACGGAGCAAGGAGCGTGGATTGGCTTGCCTCCAAAGAGGCAGGTCCGAGAAGACAAGGGGTGAACCAAACAGTGCGACACGCATGGAAGGAAGGCGAACATGCGGGCGAATGCGCCCGAGAGTGAACACACACACACACACACACACACACACACACCGATAATCTGGCCAATCTGCTACGAGGTGGGAGGAGAGGGGGAGGGTGGCGGGGGGGAGGGGGAGATGAGGAGGAGGCGGTTTGGAGACGCTGCAATCCATGATGGTTAAAGTCCGCCCAGCGTCAAAAAGGGATGCGGAGGAGGAGGTGGTGATGGTAGTGGGCGGCCTGTGAGCGTGCGGCTGCGCCGCGAGCCCCCCCCCCCGGCGGGGGGCGCCCGCCGCCGAGATCGGCGCCAGCAGAAACCTGAACATGTCGTACTACAGGGAGGCCGCCGCCGCCATCCCCCGCGACAAGGGGAGAGGACGAAGGAGAGGAGAAGGGGCGGAGTGAGTTGAAGAGGGGGGTGGGATAGACGAGTAACGGGAGGGTGCAAGGGAGAAGGAGGAGTAGGAGGCGGAGGAGGAACAGGGAAGAGGAGGAGGAGAGGAGGTGGAGGAGGAGGAGGAGGAGGTGGGAAGGGAGGAGGAGGAGGAGGAAGAGGAGCGGGGAGGAGGAGGAGGAGGAGGAGGAGGAGGAGGAGGAGGAGGAGAAGGCATGATGATGACGCGTAATCTTAATATGTAAGTTATTAAGTCCGCTCAACGTAAAAGGCAAATTGGTAACATGCCCGTGTTGGCTAATATCTTGTGGCAAAGTTGCATCTTCAAATGTTGAAAGCATTCATCAGGATCGTCCGCAGAAGCTGCACGGTATTATCAAGCATATTATGAGAGCCCTGGTCATCGTAGTGGTATGTCTTCAAGAGACGCACTGCCGATGTTCGCTCGTCTACGAATTCGAAGGCCACCCTTCATCACGTCAGGGAGCGAGAACGGCAGTAGGGAGCACGTTGGAGCGGCAATATTTCTAGCACCATGGGCAACACATGCAATAACAAGTGATCTGCAACATAACAACATAATAGAGAGCTTAAGGATACGTGTGACGGGATGTGTATTAACATTTAGTGATCGCATACGCATGCACAAACAAGTACTCATACGACATCCGGCACGACTTCTTTTCCGAGCTTGGGAATTTCACCCAAGAAGTGCCGCTCACATGTACCAGCGGTTTTCTTGGTGATTCCAACGCGAGATTGCTACAACGGTGCACCGGAGAAGCAGCCATCATTGGAGTTATCGGTTTCGAGAACACTAGTGGTGAATGGGACGCTCTCTTAAACAGCGCATTGTTGGCAGAATTATGCACAAGCCTGGAATCGTACACTGCCGATACCTTCTTCGATGTGGGAACGGAGGCGACTGTAACGCATGACGACTTAATTAAACACGCGACCCATGGACGAGATGCAGCTTGGGAAGTGTGAGCAGTTTAACTATGTCATCGTCGAGCGGGCTTGGTTGGCGAAGATACGGAGCATTTGGAGGGATAGGTCCCGAGTTTCCCTTTTGTGAACGTCGTGGAGCAGGAAATAAACATCCCCATTCTGGAGTCCCCCCAACGACACCCACAATACGATTGGAACACTTTTCGTCAATCAGAGAACGTGGGAAACTATATCTCCGGCTTTGTGGAGAAATGGGGCACAATATTGCCGGACGACATCATCGACGGGAAAGCATCAACAGTTGTTTCATGTATGCTGGAATCAGCGAAGGAATATATACCTCTCTCGTCCGCTACTCGACACAGGGCGTAGGTCACTCAGCATGTCATTCAACAGAATTGCAGACAACATGGGGCATCCAAGGAAGAAGCCAGAGGTCCTCTGTGAGCAGTCTTGGGGCGTCTGAGGGGCCCCTTGGGACGTCTGGAAGACATCTTGGGACGTCTTGGGGCCATCTTGGTTACAGCAGAGGCGTCTTGGGACCGTCTTGGGGTCCATCTTTGGCCATCCTGGCCGTCTTGGAGTCACCTTGGCGGCCATCTTGGACCATCTTCTTGGCCGTCTTGGAGGCCATCCATGGGCCGTCTTGGGTTGGAAATACCTGTGACCCGGGTGGTTGGCGGTATGGGCCGAAGCCCAATTGAGAGTCTAGAACTCAACCAGAACCCCTCAGAAGTTTGGCACGCCATGCACCCTTATGATGAATCACCACGGGGCGGCCGATCACGGAAAGAGCAAGGTACGAGTGATGACGTTTTAGGTCCTAGGTGGGGTGAACCTAGTGGGGCTCCAGGTCTAACACGCCCGGGGGGGGGGGGGCAAGACGGCCCAAAAGGTTCCCAAGACGGCTTCCGATGCCCCCAAGACGGACCTCGAGAGGTTCAAAACGGCTCCGGGACGGCCCGAGAGCGTTTGAAGAATGCCCACGGCCGCCCAAGAGCGTTACGTTCCAAGATGGCCTACGGTGGCCTCAAGTTGGTCCAAGAGGACTCTAAGGCGGCCCAAGAGGCCTTCAAGAGGACCGCCCACACGGCTGCATGAGACCAAACACATCGATTTTCCGTTGCAAGTGTTGAGATTCGCGTTCTTTCGGGTGTCCGACGGCCCAACACGGCCCGAGAGGCACCAAAGATCGTTCCAAGACGGCCACGGTGGCCAGCGAGAAGGCTCCAAGACGGCCCGAAAGGGCCCAAACATTGCACAGAGGCCCCCCAGAGGGGCCCAGAGGAGCCAAGCGAGCGCCCAGAGTGCCATGAGAGACCGCCACGAGGGCCAAAGAGGGTTCAAAGAAGGCCCGAAGACAGCCTAAGCTGCCTAAGCTCCCAGTGACAGCCCCCAGAGGTTCCCGAGACGGTCCAGGAGCCTTCCTAGAGGACCTCCCAGACGGCCCGCAGAGGCAACACACATTGATTTTCCATAGGTTTTCTATTGTTTTTCGGGCGTTCGCATTTTCGGGCCCCGAAGACGGCTCCGAGGGCTCCCGCGGCTGCCGCAAGAAGGCCGAGGAGGCTCCCAAGAGGGCCTTCAGACGGTCCAAGGGGCCCCCAGGACGGCCACAGAGAGCCCCAACGAGAGTGTCCGAACCCCAAGATGCCCCTAGGAAAGCCCAAGTGTGCCATAGGAGGCCCCGAAGAGGACCCAAGAGGGCCCCCAAGCCGACTGAAGCCCCCCAAGACGGCCCCAGAGGTCCGGAGGGCGGCCCACGAGCCTCCCGAGAGGACCCCTGAGGCGGCCCGAGGAGGCTCAAAACCGAGATTTGTTTTAGGGTTTCCATTGTCTTCTGGGGTCTCGCCTTTTCGGGCCCAGATCGGCCGAAGACGGTTCTGAGGACCTCCGCGGCTGCCCCAAGACGGCCCCGGAGGCTCCCAGCAGAGTCCCAAGATGGCCCAAGAGGGCTTCAAGACGGCAACAGAAAGCCGCAAGACGATTTAAGAGGGCCCCAAGAGGGCCCCAAGCGAGTCCCAAGAGTGCCGTCGGAGGCCTCCAAGAAGGGCGAATCGAACCCCGAGGGGGCCCTAAGACGATCAAGCCGCCCGGGACGGCCCAAGAGGTCCCCATAACGGCACAAGAGAGCCTCAAGACATACAACAGAGCCTTTCGAGAATCCCCCCTCCCTGGACGGCCCAATGAAGGACGCAGCTTTGACACCAAGGCTCCCAAGAGCACCATGTGACCAGAAAGTCTTTGCACACGAGTCGGTGACGCAAACATCTTTGAGCGCTAAGGGTCCCAGGAGCGAGCAGTGGGCCAGACAGTTCCAAATGCTTAGCCTAGGCTCCCAAGAGAGATCTGTTACGACCCATCTCTTGAGTCCAAGGTTTCCCAAGAGTGAGCGGTGACGTACGCAACTCTTCGCACCAAGGCCCCCACGAGCGAACGGTGACGTAACAAGCTCTCAACGCCAAGGCTTCCAAGAGCGAGCGATGACGTGACAAAGCTCCTCACACAAAGGCTTCCAAGAGCGAGCGGTGCCATGAGCCCTCTCGGGCGAGTTCCTGAAGCTCTCATTCCGTTTTCTCATGTCGGCCCAGGTCTAATGATTTTCGGTCAATCCCGCCACCGTGCCATGGTTGTGGGTCATAGATCATGGGCCTCTTGGATGTTCGTTGGGATGTCATGGGAGGCCTCTCTGGGTTTGGGGCCTCTTGGGGCGCCTTCGAGGCCTCTTGGGGGCCTCTTGGGACCTCTTGGGAACCTCTTCGCAAGTGCGAATTGTCGGTTCGGGCTCCCCCTCTGGAGCCCCACTTGGGGCTTTCTTGGGGCGTCTGGGGCGCCTCTCGAGCTGGCTTGGGTGCCTTTTGAGCCGTCTTGGGGCTCTTCTGGGAGCCTTTGGGGCCGTCCTGGAGCGCCTGGAATGCTTCCAAGACGGCCCCCAGACGACCCAAGATGCTCCCAAGACGGCCCCATAGGCCGCCAAGACGCCCCGGAACGGCTCCGAGGGGACACCCAAGAGGGCCCCAAGTGGCCCAAATCGTAGATTTCCCTTGGGTTTCCTGCGGATTCTGAGATTCTCGCGCCTCCAGGATCGCCCTGAGGCGGCCCAAGAGGCCCCCAAGACGGCCCAAGAGACCCCCAAGAGGCCCCCGAGACGGCCCAACAAGCCCCTAAGAGGCCCCCAAGACAGGCCAAGAGGGCCCCGAGTCTGCCCACGAGGGCCCCACGACGGCCGAAGATGTTGTCAAGACGGCCCCAGAGAACATAAGACGCCCCAAAAAGAGCCCCACCCCCAAGAGGGCCTGAAGAGACTCAGCTATTTTATATAAACTGTCGATCGCTCACCGCAGCATGCTGGAATTTGCGCGCCAGAGACAAAAACGCGCGTCGGAAACTTTGACTCACGCAGCTCCGTGGATTCAATCCTCGGGTTCTGATCTGGTCTCTTCTTTGCTCTGCTCTTCTCTTCTCTTTTCGTATCCTATCGTATCGCATCGTCTCACTCAGCCTCCCTCCTTCCTCCTCCACCCTCTCTCCTCTTCCTCTTCCTCCTGGCAGGCCTTCGAAGCCGTCAAGACAGCGCGCAACGACACCCAGCTGACCTGTCTACTCTTCTCGGACGACATCGTGCTGGCCCAGAAGGTCGGCGAGGAGTTCGAGGCGTGGCGTGGGCCCGCCGTGTGTGTCTGCCCGTGCGTGAGGAGGGGCTGTACTTCTCGGAGGTCCGCGCGTACTTCTTGGCTCGGCGCTGGCCCCTCCTCCGCGCCCGGGGGAAGGGGTTCCAGCGCCGATCCACGAATCCGCGCGGACCTCCGAGAGTTTATGATCAGTTTGTTTATTCGATGGAATCGAGAGATGAGGAAGAGGGTGGTGTGAGGGGCTGCGGGGAAAGGAGGGGCGAAGGAGCGGACATGTTTCCAGACCCAGGCGAAGGCCCCTAGGGTCGTCATGAGCTCGTCGCAGTGTCGTGGCGGGGCAACCTTTGGACAAGGAGGGAGGGAGGGGGACAGGTCGGAAGTGCTGAAGAGGTGAAGAGGGGGTTGGGCACACTCATCTTTCTTTTCCAGTTGTATCCTTGATAATCTGGTGTGTGTACATCTTGCGCTGCCGCGCGATTCCGCCACCGCGCTCGGGCGGGCGCCGGGGACGGGGCGGCGGCGGGGGAGGAGGGGACGCACCCGGGGGGCGGAGGGGCCACGCCACCCCGCCTCTGTTTGTGGAGCTTGTTTTGCTCGGGGACCAACAATAGCAGGGACTTGGATGACACAAACATGATCACATCTTGGTCTCGATGCGGCTTTGCGAGAAGCGAAGTATCGAACCATGGAGAGGCCCGACATTCAACAACCCCTCAGAGACGGCGATGCGCTCGGTGTCATGTGCACGCGGTCGGCGGGGTCTTCTGAGGTGGGGGCTCACGCCTTCAGATCTGCTCCTGGGCAAGGATGGGGACAAGGACGAGCAGGACGAGGCGGAGGAGGTGGAGGAGGAGGAGGAGGAGGGAGGACGCCGACCCCGACCATGCCGACGACCACGCCGATAACGATGACGACGACGACGAAGTTGGCGACGACGATGACGACGAATAAGTTTCTATGCCGACGACGAAACGAGACGAGACGACGAAGATGATACGACGAAGACGACGAGGATGCCGATCAGGTGGACGGTGACGACGGCGAACACGAGTTGGCGGACGGCGCACGGTGACCCTGACGTCCGCCGATCAGATTTTTGTTCTTTGAACGCTTCCCCAGGGGTCATGTTTCGTCCTGGATCCATTTGTGATGGCCCTGGGGCCCAAAAGCGGGCCCCAGATACCGAATCGATGAAATGTAATACCGCCGGCTGAAAATGTTTTGATTACCGACATCGACAGCAGCTGGCGGACGGTGGCCGACCCACAGGCGTACGACGAGACGACGAGTTTTACGACGAAGACGCCGACGAAGACGAGACGACGGAGACGACGACAAAGACTTCGACGACGACGACGACGACGACGACGGGACGACGACGACGACGTGGACGACGACGACGACGACCACGACGACGAAGACGACGACGACGACGACGACGACCGCGGACGGTGGCCTGCGGACGGTGGCCGGCGCGCAGGCGTGCAACAAGGTCATCCCGGCAGTGCCCTGCCCAGACCCGTGCCGCGCTTAGGGGCGGCCGGCGCACCGCGGGGCCGAGGCCATTTTCGAAGGCCATTCAGGGCCATCAAGAACCATCGAAGGCTCTCGAGGGCCCACGAGGGCCATCCCTCCCTTCGTGGGCTTTCGAACGCGTGCCGACGCGCTTTGACCCGCCCCGAGGACACTCGGTACGACGTGAGGTTGATTTTCCGAGAGGGTTCGAGCTGGGGCCGACGAGTTGCCGCATGCAGTCTTCTCGATTCTCGAGCGTTCTTCTCCTCTCTTCCTCCTCGCTCCTCCTCCCTCCCCCCTCCCTCCTCCCTCGTCCTTACTCGTTCCTCAATTAGGCTTTTGCTAAGGGCTTCTGCAATGCCAAGCAATGCCGAGCAAGCATTGCCATGCAACGCAAAGCAACGCCGAGCAATGCCAGTGACTGCCAAGCACTGCCAAGCAATTCCAAAAAACGCAAAGCAAGGCCAATCAATGCCAAGAAATGCCGAGCAATAGCAAGCACTGCCGAGCAATGCAGAGCAATGCCAACTAATACCAAGCAACGCAGTGCAATGCCAAGGTATGCACAGCAATGCACATAATGCCAAGAAGCTCAAAACAATACAACGCAATGCAATGCCAACCAATGTCGATCAATGCCAAAATCAATGCCAATCATTGCATTACATTGGTTTAAAATGCTTTGGTTTGCGTTGGAAGACGATGTTATTCAGTTCGTATCCCAAGCATTGTGTTTCTAGAAATGTATGGTATGCTACCTACGTGAAGCAATCTAGGTGGCGCGATCTATTTGGAGCGATGAGTGTTGTGCACTCTACTTTGTGCAGTTTATGGTGAGTTATGTTGCTCAACCTACGATGTGCAATGCATGATGTGGAATAGATGTGGTGGACTGTATGTGGTGCAATGTTTGTGATACAATCTATGCGGGGCAACACATGTGGGGCAAAACATGTGGTTGATTCTTAGTCGGTGCAATATGTGTGGTGCAATCGATGTGGTCCAATCTATGGTGTGCATTTCATTCACTTGCCGAACTTGAAGTTGTCAACTCCACTGCTCGCGCAATCATCCCACCCACCCACCCGCAACTTGGTTTGCAAACCCCATGCGGGACCGAGCACAGATATCGCTCCGGGGTCGTCTTGGAGCCCTCGGGGGCGTCTCAAGAGCGCCCCAATCAGGCCGGAGAAGCAAGACGGCCGACGACGACGACGACGACGACGACGACGACGACGACGACGGCGGCGACGACGACGACGCCGACGACGACGACGAAGACGACGACGCCGACGCCGACGACGACGACGAAGACGACGACGACGTCGCCAACGAAGACGACGACGAGGGAGGAGGGAGGACGACGACGGTGACAACGACGACAACGACGACGAAGACGACAACGAGGGAAGAGGGAGGACGGCGACGGCGCGAACGACGAAGAAGGAGGAAGGACGGCGACGCCGACGAAGACAACGACGAGGGAGGAGGGAAGACGACGACGAGACGACGACGACGACGACAACGACGACGACGATGGCGACGACATAGGAGGGACAACGACGAGACGCCGACGACGGACGACGACGACGACGAGGGAGGAGGAGGAAGGACGAGCACGGCGACAACGACAACGGAAACGACCACGACGCCAAAGAGGACGACGACGACGAACACGAGGAAAGACACAGGACGACGTAGGCGACGACGACGACGACGCGGGAGGAGGGAGGACGGTGACGACGACGACGACGACGACGCCGCAAGAGCGGGCGCGCACGCTTTTGTTGAAAATCCGTGTTGCGAAACCTTGTATGTTTGTAGGTTTTTTGGACGCGCGATTTTGAAATCCTTCCGAAACCGATGGGTTTTGAAGGATTTCGCCGTACGCGCGCGACGACGCGCGCGTCTGCACTTCGTCCCGTTTTTTGCAGAGGATTCTCGCGCAGGCACACGCGCAAGGGCGTTCGACAGATTTCGACATGCGCGCGCGCGACGCCCGTTTGGTAGCATGTTGTGAAAATATTGAAAAACCAATGGTTTTCTTAAGATTTCGCAAGAGCTCGCGCGTAAGCTTTTTTAGCAAATCAGTGTTACGAAACCATGTGTTTTTGTATGTTTTTTGGGAACTCGATTGCGACATCCTTCCGGCACCGAAGGTTTTTGAAGGATTTCCGCATGCGCGCGCGACGACGCGCGCGCGCGCACTTCGTCCCATTTTTTCGCAAGGGATTCGCGGAAAAGTGTTATGCTTGAGCAAAAATTGTCACCGCATAGTTTTTAACAAGGGAACCTCTGGGGGGGGATACCGGTTGGCCTGGGACGTTGTGATTTCATATTTAGGATGGACATGTGGTCATAATCATATGTGATTTACATACCCGGGCGATGACGCTGGGGAGGGTAGAGTCTATTCTCTTTTTAGAAAGGAGAATCTATGTGGTGCAATGTGTGCAGTCTATGTCGTGCACTCCATGTGGGACAATCTCCGGTGTGTAATATTTGCTGTTTAACTGATGTGATGCGGTGCGAATCTACGTTGTGAGCGATCTAAAAGCTCGCCTCAGGCATGTTGTTGTGCAATCGACGTGCTGCAATATATTCAGGGCAATCGATCCAGTGCAATATTTGTAATGCAACATGTGCACTCTTATCTATGTGTATCAAGCTATGTTGTGCAAACTATGTTGCGCAATGTCTATTGTTCGATCTATGCTGTGTAGTAAGTGTAGTGCAACGTGGTTGTGCAATCTATGCTGTGCATTTTCTGTGGTGACGCAATATATGCTGCGCACTCTATGTGGTGCAACCTTTCTTGTGAAATATCGATGGTGCAATCAACGGTGTGAGCGGTCAAGAAGCCTGCCGCAGGCGCGAAACCTGCTTCGCGCTATCTATGTGGTGCAATCCAACGGCGGCGACGGGCGGCGACAGCGACAACATAGCCGCCAGTCCGCCACACCAGCCCAGGCGACGGGCGGCGACAGGGCGGCGACGGCGGCCACATAGCCGCCAGACTGAAGACGCGGCTCACAAAGCAGGCGGCGTGGAGGCGGCGACGGGGCGGCGACGGCGGCCACATAGCCGTCAGACCGACGACGCGGCCCAGTTCTTTGGAACAGAAGTATGAACCTTTAAGTGTAAGCACTTGTGGGGGCAACAACAGAATAAAGGGCCGCGCCGGGTCCGTGTTCTTGATTGCTGCGTTCACCCTGGGCCGTCATACCCAATCCTTCTGACCGTACTCCGTCCAAGCCGCCGTCTAGTGCACGACATTATCTAATGGCGGCTTGACCTGAGTACTGCAAGGAAGACGGCGGCGTGTACAAGGGGGGGGCGCTATGAGGGCGGCCTTTGAAGAAATTATTGCGGGACTTGTCAGAAGGCAGCGGTCTCAGAAGGGCCCAGAGCCTTCTGAGAAGGCTCCTTGGAAGCCGGGAAAGCTTCTGAGAGACCCCTTGCCGTGTCCTTCGGGTCCCCACCCCGCTCCCACGGCAGCGAAGGGTCTTGGTACGGCGGCCCGGCCCGCCGCGGCCAGAGGGGCGGGGAACCGAGATAGATCAGACAGGACGACTGGATGACCAAGAGGAGGAGGAGGAGGAGGAGGAGGAGGAGGAGGAGGAGGAGGAGGAGGAGGAGGAGGAGGAGGAGGCTGAGGAGGGGGAGGAGGGTGCAAGGGTCCCGCTGAGGACCACTGCTCTGATGTAATGTGTGTTTCTCGCCTGTCTCCTCTGATGTCGTCTGCTATATCTCCATATAGATGTACAAGGGATCGGGCAGTGTAGTGCGATGCTGATCACACGCTGGTCCTGGAAGGGAGCTGCTTTTCGACATTGCGGGCCAGCCTGCAGTCCTGCGACCCACGGGCGCACACCAGAAGTCCAGCGACACTCTGTCGCTGCAAGGCTTGAGCCAAGACGGTTTCGGTAGAAACGTCTTGGGAAACGTGTGAATCATGTATAACGAGCCTCTGGGTCTTGGGGCTCGTCGAGGGCCCTCGGGGAGACCATTAAGCATGGCTAGGCTGCAAATAGAGTGTGGGAAGCACGATACGCCGTGAGACGCAGGCTTACATGAAACGGGGCTCCTGTGGAGCCTGAGTGTACACATTAGCTCAGACTCGGCCTCCAGAGGCCATCTGTCGTAAGTAGGCTCTGGTCAGGCAGGCTCTGGGCTGTGAATTGCATGCCCAAGAGTTAAAGATCGATGTTTCGACATCGAGGCCTGCTGCTGACTCTTGAGTTCACGGGCAGCACAGAGCGTGGGAGCGGTCTCACCGTGCCCCATAGGGCCATATCTCCTGCAGCGTACTGTTGCTCGTAGGGATTGTCGCGGGCGAAGTATACTAATGCCTCCAGGATTGCATCTCCATCTTCGTCGGGTAGTGGCTTGACATGATCGAGCTTGTCCATGCCCTCGGTCTTGCGCTTCCTGGCACTGCGATGGAGGGGGTCATCTACCAATCTCCAGCGTTGTCGTGATCTGAAGAACTCCAGTAAGACCTTGGCCGCTCGATCTTTCGTCAGTCCGTCCGCTAGCATAGCATCGCTGCGCACCCAGCGTATCTGGAGGGCCGTCTGCTCCTTCTCCTGCCGAATGCCAAGACATTCGATATTCGTACGTTTGTCGCGTAGTCCGAGACCAGCCGACTCACTCTTTTGGATCGCGTCATATCCCGATTTCCCGTCTGTGACCAGGACGCTCGGGCAGGCTGAGATGGCGTCGTTCACGTGTTGCTTTGGGGTGTAGTCCACTGGACCGCACTCTAGCTCGTAGATGAAACGTCGAACGTAACTGATCTCGTCCAGGGTCTCGGTCATCATCTGAACTTCAGAACTGGTACTGTTTTTGGCCACGCACGATCTCACAGCCCTGGGATTCGTTGGTGACTCGGGATGCCCAGGTTGCGGCGCCCCAGTCAACCACGGCAATCTGGTCGATAGTTGGGATGAGCATGATCACATCGGCGGTGTCGTTCATGGTGCAGATGGGCTTGTTGATCTTCTGGATGGTCGAGACCGTGGCCGTCGGAATATCGGCTTGGAGCAAGGATATTTCTGCACTGAGCCACGGGGCCGATTGCTGAGCACGCCATCCTACGGTCCCAAGTCGGCCGCGTAGATCAGATCGTTCTTTGTCCGAAACTCCCTCTGTCGGTGTTCGGTCACGTCTTATTTTGATGGGCTCTTCAGACTGTAGTTGTCCTGAGCGAAGCTGCAAGTAAAATCGTCATTATGTCTGATACTGTACGAAAGCTCGGCTCTCCCAAGGCGTCCACTCGAAAGCCTTCTGGATGTCGGTACGCTTCTTAGCGACGCACCCAACCCCTTGCGCAGTGCAAGGCAGGAGTAGTTTGGGATAGTTGGTGAGAGGGCGACGACGTGACATGGACGCATACACTTCTGCGAGCGCCGTTCGGGAGGTTCGCAGTTCCCCGATTAAGGGAAACAGTGTGGTAGAGATGAGTAGTTATGTGAACCCCCGAGTCACTAAGGCACGGTCAAAACGGAAACGGCGGGCAACGGGTTTGAAACGTCGACGGGGCAGCAAAAGACATGGCATGGCTCCCTCGAACCAGAATTCCCACGCGACGACGCATGCGCGGTGCCTCGTTCCGCTGGACCCACCAGCAGCCCTCGAACGTGGCGATCGTGTCGCAGATCGCAGCCCCCCAGGGACGGCGAATTCCTGCTCAGGTCAGCGCGGTTCCTCATTCCGCTGGACCCACCAGCAGCCCTCGAAATTGGCGACAGTGTCGCAGATAGCAGCCCCCCAGGAACGGCGAGGTCCCGTTCAGGTCTGCGCGGTGCCTCACTCCGCTGGACACACCAGCAGCCCTCGAAAGTGGCGACAGCGTCGCAGATCGCAGCCCCCCAGGGACGGCGAGGTCCCGCTCAGGTCTGCGCGGTGCCTCACTTCGCTGGGCCCACCAGCAGCCCTCGAAAGTAGCGACAATGTCGCAGATCGCAGGTCGCAGCCCCCCAGGGACGGCGAGGTCCCGCTCAGGTCTGCGCGGTGCCTCGTTGCGGTGGACCCACCAGCAGCCCTCGAAAGTGGCGACAGCGTCGCAGATCGCAGCCCCCCAGGGACGGCGAGGTCCCGCTCAGGTTTGCGCGGTGCCTCACTTCGCTGGACTCACCAGTGAACCTCGAAAGTGGCGACAGCGTCGCAGATAGCAGCCCCCTGGGGACGGCGAATTCCTGCTCAGGTCAGCGCGGTTCCTCATTCCGCTGGGCCCACCAGCAGCCCTCGAAAGTGGTGACAGTTTCGCAGATCGCAGCCCCCAGGGACGGCGAGGTCCCGCTCAGTTTTGCGCGGTGTTTCACTCCGCTTGATCCACCAGCAGCCCACGAAAGTGGCGACAGTGTCGTAGATCGCAGCCCCCCAGGGACGGCGAGGTCCCGCTCAGTTCTGCGCGGTGCCTCGCTCCGCTGGACCCACCAGCAGCCCTCGAAAGAGGCGACAGTTTCGCAGATCGCAGATCGCAGCCCACTAGGGACGGCGAGGTCCCGCTCAGGTCTGCGCGGTGCCTCGCTCCGCTGGACCAACTTAGCGGCCCTCGAAAGAGGCGACAGTTTCGCAGATCGCAGCCCCCCCCAGGGACGACGAGGTCTCGCGGGAGACAGGAGGTGGGAGGCAGGAGGCGGGAGGCGGGAGAAGGACGCGCGAACAGTGTTCTATTCAAAGCGAGTTCCCAACCAAGGAGGGCTGGGGAACAAAAATGTTTGGGGCTTCCACCCCTCGCGCGGACAGCAACAATTAAAAGTAAAGAAGCATACATCAGGACTGTAACCGTGGAAACAGGAAGCTGCAACTGGAACAGGGAGCTGCAATCCTCACCCACCAGGGTACCAACGAGCAGATCGGTTTCCCGCCGTCGCAAGATCACACATCATTGGCGTCTCATGCGAATTGAAATGCGTCCTGTATGAGGGGTTCGCGCTCGATCCAGTAGGCCATGAGAGGCACTGCGATAAACTCAGCTGGGGTGAGCCTGCCAAGCAGAAGGTGGGTGAATAAAAACCCTGAATCTGCATCTCCTTGAGGAGGCGCCGCGCGACACCAAGGAAAATGACAAAGTGGCTTGCTGCGAACGTTTGTACAGACACTCGCCGGCAAGACATCACCGTTGAAGGTTGATGGCGTTCGAGTCCTTAACCAGGCCCCGAGCTCAAGGACCGCCTGGCTCCATTATTTCCGACTCCTGGTACCAATTCTCCGACTCCAGGTCCCATTTGTCCGATTCTTTCGTCCGCCCAGTGAGCGCCAGGCCGGTGATGATTCCGCGTATGCTGTCTTTCACCTGTCCAAGACTATGAGCACTTCGGCCCGTCCCTGTAGCACCCTCGCGGTGCATGACGCAGGCCATACCCTGCCCTGCCCTGCTCAAGGATTTTAAGACAAGGACAGGCGTGAGGATGTGTAAGTTTGAAGTATTCTTGCGGCAGCGGTGGCAGTGGCGAGAATGGAAGAAGGATAGGGAGGAGTAGCGTAACAGGAGAAGGAGGAGGAAGATGAGGAGGACGGGCAGGAGGAGGAGGAGGCGGAGGAAGAGGAGGAGAGTATCTGTAATTATGATGTGCGTGCGCAGAGCCCTAGCAATGACAGCAGCAGCTGTGTTATGACAGAGGACAATATATGAGGAAGGCCTTATGGCCCGTGCCGCCAACCCTGAAGTGGGACGACGACGGCGACGGCGGCGGCGACGATGATGACGATGATTCCCTGGAGCCCGTCTTGGGGCTCTCTTGGGAGCCTCTTGGACTTCGTCGGGGGGCCGCTTGGAGGACTTCCTTGGGAAGCTCCGTGGTCACTTTGAGCTGCCTCGGAGCGGATCTGAGGCTTCTTATTGGCACGTGCGGAAATGCGCAATTGTGGGGAGGGTGTTTGTGGGGGGCGGCGGTCCAGAAGGGGGGGGGGTAGGTTATGCTCCCCTTGTCCACAGGGGGGAGGCGGGGGGAGGAGTCCTGAGCTGTCTTGAGTTCCACCTATCGACAGGGGGACCACCCCCCTGTCCCCCTTGTCCACAGAGGGTATCCCCCAGGGAGGAGGACACGACCCTCAAGACCCCACCCGAACCCTCCCTGCGACCCCCCCCCCCGCGACCCCTCCGTCGACCCCCGCACCCGTTCCCCCCCCCCTCCCCTTGGCAGGGAAGGGATCAATCAGAAGGGAGGTGCTTGGCTTGCGGGGGGGGCAGGCAGGAGTGAGTGTTGGCGCGCCGCCACGGGTGCCCGAGGTGGAACAACAAGTACCACTGCCATGGGCGCGAGGTCGGCGATTGGGTGCAGTTTTACATGATGAGCCAGCTGGACAACCTTATCATCGCGGACTCTTCCTACTCCTTCTGGTGCGCGGCCGGGCGGCGTGCGAGGAGGAGGAGGATGCGGAGGAGGAGGAAGAGGAGGAGGAGGAGGAGAGGAGGAGGAGAAGGAACATGGGGATGAGGACAGTGGTGGTTTGGGGGAACGGGTCGGACGGGGTAGGGAAAGATTGATGGAGGAAAGGGGACGAGGGAGGAGAAATGATAGGAAAGGGAAGCGGGAGGGCAGGGAGGGGGCATGGCTCAAGCTAGGTGCGCTAGCGTCACATCTGACGTCCTACCCTTCCCTCCCATCCCTCACCATGGCGCAGATCTCCTATCTATTGCGAAGTCCACGGCCGGTGCCGCCGACCTTAGAGGGGAACGACGACAACGGCGGCGGCGGCGCCGACGATGACGCTGACGTGGGTCAGAGTCCTCATGGATGCTTCTTGGGGTCTCTTCGAAGCGCTCTCGGGGGCCTTTTGTGGGCCCCTTGGGGGCCTCTTGGGGACCTCTTGGGAGCATCTTGGGGACCTCTCGGGGTCTCTTGGGGCCTCTTGGGGGCATCCTGGGGGCCTCTTGGGGGGCCACTTGGTTCCTCCTGGGAGCCTCTAGGGGCCGAGGGCTCGAAATGTCCGTTCTGGTCCCTCGTCTGGGCACCCTCTTGGAGCCGTCTTGGGGACCTCTTGGGCCGTCTTGGAGGCGTCTTGGGCCGTCTTGGGGCCCTCTTGGGGTGTTTTGTTTCCTTCCTACAACCCTCTGGGGCCGTCTTGGGGCGATCTGGGGGGCCGTCTTGTAGCGTCGGGAAGCGGAAGGGGCGAGAACGCCGAAATGCTTCAAACGGGTTTTTCTTCTTTGGGCCGTTTGGGAGTGCTCCGTGGGGCCTCTTCGAGTGTCTTGCAGCTTGCAGGGCTCGCTCTTGGGCCGTCTGGAGGCCGTCAAGGCGTCTTGGACAGATAGTTCGGCAATTCGGGGCCCTCTTGGACCGTCTTGGAGGCCTCGTGGAACACTCTTGGCCCGTCTTGGGGCGTTGTTTGGTTCTGGACACCTCCAGGGGGGAGTCGTATCTGACCCGGGACTCCCCCCCCCCCTGGGTCGGACCCCCCTGGACCCCCTTCCCTGGCGGGGGAGGGGTCAAAGGGAAGGGGCTTCCCGTCGAGTCAATTACTACGTTCCTCAGTTTCGTTTTGGCTGGCGCGCTTGAGGAGGAGGGCCTAGGGAAGGGGGGGGAGTTGCGACGGGCCCAGCGCTTGAGGAGGAGGGCCCAGGGAAAGGGGGGGAGGGGGCAGCGGCGACGGGCCCAGGGAAAGGGGAGGCACAGCGAAAGGGGACGACAGAGACGACGACTAACGAATGACGGAGACGACAACTCGAACGAACAAGCCCCTCACACACGCCGGCAGTGTCGGCGGATTCGCACAGTCGGATGTCGAGCAGGACAATGATCCTAGGAGGGTACGTGATTGATGGGGAAGCATGGCGTAGAAGAGCACGGCAGCGCATAACATGTCATGGCATGGCGTGGCATTGCGTAGTGACGAATTGCATTACAAAGCGTAGCAACGCAAAACATGACATCGCATAGCGGTGCACAATACAGCATCGCATTGCATGCCGTGGTGTGGCACCAGATGACTTGGAGGGTAAGTGCCCCGTCTACGAGAGGACAGGGCCTGTCAGGAATGCCGGCTCCATGTCCTCCGCATCCGTGCCTGCCCGATGTGGGCGCGTTCGAATGCCAAGTGCCTTCTGGAGGTACGGGAAACAGGCCAGCGCTGCAGCGGAAACACTGTTTTGAATGACCGAAGTGCGGGCATGAGGGCGGCGCTGCAGCGGGAGCACCATTGTGGAAGAACCAGGAACGACCGGATTGAACAAACACATCGGAAAGACCAAACATTAAATTTTGTGTGTTGAAAGCAGTATGTGGAGAGGACAGGACATTCCCTGGTCACAGTCAGGGGAGAGAGGAGAGTATTCATATTGTGCAACGGTCGAGGGGGCGGAGGGGAGGAGGAGGGAGGAGGGGGCAGGAAGCAAGAAGGAGGCAATGGGAGGTGGGCGTGAGGATGGAGATTGGGGAAGGATCGTTGAGGAGGGAGCGTGGGAGGGAGAGAAGGAGGAAGAAGGGAGGTGGGGAGAGGATCGGGACCCAGGGGCCGCATTCTCCCTTCCGCTCGCGTTGCAGGGCGAGCGGCGCCCGAGCCCCCTGGTTTCCTCCTGTTCCTCCTCCTCCTCCTCCTCCTCCTCCTCCTCCGCTCCTGTCATGTCAAGTGGGGGATCAGGCCCGTGGGTTGCCAAAGCGTGCCCAGGGGGCGAGGAGGCTGTGCAAGCTGCTCCCTCGGTCCCGTCGCAGTTTGCAGAAGTCTCACCGTGCTGGAGGGCGCGATG